CAGCCATTGTTAAATAAAGATAAATTGATACACGAGGGCACTCGGGTGATGTTTCCGAACGCAGCTCAAATGGAAAGCACTCAATGGCTGCGTTCAGCAGACTCAACAGTTTTGCAACCGTTTTATGATTGTCTGCTGAGATAGGACCATTCTTCTAGATCTAAAAGTATGATCCAATTAGCGCGAAGGAAACTTACAACAGTTGCAAAACAAACGTTCTGCTGAACGCACCCAATGTTTATATGATTTACCGATTGAACAAAAAATGCCAAACTTTAGTTTATGCTTAGAGATGATAGGGTGCAACATGTGTCCGAACACGTGTTAGGACGGAATCAGATTACACATTGAGGATTGAGATTGAAGATTGAAAAATTCAGATTTGACCAATCGAAACGAAAGGAACTAAAATTTCTTTGTCCTTATTGGTCAAATTTCAATCTTCAATCTCAATCTTCAATGCGTAGTCTGATTCCGGCCTTACACACTTGCACTGATTGCACCAGACACCAGTTGCACAAATCAAAACTTCAAGACAGATCTTCATCAATCTTTATTGCAAAAAATTAAATATAATTAAATCCTGCTTATATTTCTTTGATTGAAATAAACTATTAGACAAATTATTAGATAAATTGCTTCGTGCAAAAACAATAATTTTTTTTGGTCTCCAGTTCAAAACATCTCTAACCTTATATGCTCATTTTTAAGAAAATGTGACCAGTCTTTTTCCTGCAGTAATTAAAGATTATTATAATTCAAGAAGGCAAATGACCCAAAATAACCGATACCCAACAAAATAGTTGAAAGTACTTGGATGAATCCAATCTAGATTCTTTTGAAAAGGTAGTTGAAAAAAAGGGACAAAAATATATTAACAATTTTTAAGATTTTACACCGAATAGGAAAGGGAATAATGTGGACTTTCCGAATTATCTATTCCGGAGATATTTAATTTTTTATATGTATTACGCATCACTTGATTGAAAGAAGATACACACATCACAAAATTTTTTGTAACAACTTTTTAAAAAGAAAGGACCATACACAGTATATCAGTCGATAGAAAACACGCTTTTAATTTTTTAATACAATATTACAAAAAAGTAAATTACGTATGTATTTACTTATTCATTAATCGCGTTTGTATTCAAAAGAATAACTTAATTCCTAATATAATACCTAAATAATACACACTGAAAATGCTTTTTCCATGCATGCAAGTATATCGGGGCAGTAATATATGCGGCGCTGTGTATTTGCATTTTTCATAACGCGATTGAATTAGGGTGCTATTTTATTTGTGCGTTTTTGTCGTACAACAAACATGTGCAGGATAGGCTTGAAAAATTTGGTCTTACGACAAAAGCGCACAAATGAAATAGGACCCTTAAGGAGTCCTTAAAGTAAACTAATATAGATAAAGTAAACTTACTTCAGCTATTTCAATCGATATCGATCGATGTCACAAATCAATGATATAAGTAAATCCAGTAAAACATAGATATCAATTACCTTTTCTTATTGCAATTTTTCCTAAATTACTTATATATATTTTGACCGTTTTCCGATTTACTCTGCCAAGTGCTGAAAATTTAATTCAATTCATATTGTGTATACTATAGATTTTCAACACTGACAGAATATATTGAAATACAGCCCTTATTTGATATAAATTATATTCGAAAACGTAACAAAATTGCGATATAAAATATACAAGAGTTAATATTATAATCGTGGCGCAATAGATCTATATATACGTAAAATATACTAAAAACAATCAAGAATTTAATTAACTTGGAAAGCATTAAATTGATATTTAATATTGACAATTTTCACAAGAATTATAGAAAATAGTATTGTATATATGTTTCGAATACTGTTAATATCAGTCGTGGAATATTTACGCGATAAATTTGAACATACCTTTGAAAGATATGAGTGTCTCTTAAACTATCTTAAAATTATCAGATAATCGCACTGTTTGCAATTATATTCATACTACAAAATACTGCGACATAACTTTAATCCTTCGTTGAAGGCACAAAAACCAAGTCTTTTCAAATTCATTTAACATCTTACAAACATTTTATTTATTCATTCAATTAATTTAGCTTTAGCTGAACAGAATTTTTAAATAATCAGCTACCATTTGTAATTGTCTTTTAATTAGCCTTCTAAAATAAGCAGAGTATACAAAGAATATGAACATGATCACAATTTTAATTATAATATTTATTAATATTAGTATTCGTTTTTTACTTAAACAAATCTATTCTACCTCAACAAGATTTCAGTAATCTCAGCGTTAGAAACAAGTATTTAGTGAATTAAATTACTATGCGGAGAAAGCAAAGATGTAATCCTAAATCTTCATTTTTAATTCGGAATTTACGTAAAAGGCAATATTGATAGTTGAAAAATTTATCAAAAATATTGATATGAAAATTTTGTTAGAAAAAAATTCTTATTAAATATTACATCTGTTACTAAGGCATCTTGTGTGTCATGTTTGTTTTCTTATCGCCATAACATCATTTAATAGATCTTATTTTAATTTATCTAGTATATGTCATATGTTATTATATGTCATCTTGAGCGATACTGTTTTGAATAAAACTCAATCTTTCCTCTTCGTCGAATATCGATCCATCGTCAGATAACTCATGTTCCTGACTCATCAAAATGTACTTGGTTTGTGCGTTAATGTCGCGTTCCTTTTTATGGGACTTTTTAATGGAAGTCGTTTGCACCAATTTCATTAAATTCATTGCGCTTAAGCTATTTGGCGGAGTTGTATCCAGAAACTTGGATTTTGTGGTATTTTTTACATTTTTCATATTATCTGCTCCTCGACTTGTAGACGGTTGAGGATTGTCGGGATCGTCATAAGCAATCTCTTTATAACTTTTGTCCTTCTCCTTTTCGTGCATAATAATACACATCTCTTTTTCGGCATAATTTTTATTGATATGATGCTTCAAAGACCAACTGATAGGTTTTTCCAACATCTTATCATTATTTCCAAAATTGATATGCTCATTCTTTTTGATATATGATCGTTTTTTCTTTAAAATTAGCTTCTTGCTATGGTTATGCTTGTCTTTCTTATGTGATTTTTTAATCGAGTCTATGTTACAAAGTAACTCTGTCGTTGACATATTTATTGGAGTTGATCTACCATTCTTGTCTTTTGGATTTGTAGTATCCGTTACTTTCAAAACGTTTATATCAGTCTCAAATTTTTCAGCGTTATTGTGTTCCGATGTAAGATCTTCCTGTAAGTGTTTCCTCAATTTGAAACGTGCTACTGGCGTTACACATCTCGAACAATCAATTTCCTTCGATGTTGCTTGTGCACATTCATCTTCTTCTTGTGATGTATCGGGCGCAGAAACATAATTCGTAATGTTAACCGGTATTCGTCGTTTTTTAATGGGAGTAAAAATCTTAAATTCATCGTTTATATCTTTACATCCTAAAGACACGAAAGCACTTTTGGGTGTACTACTTTGCAATGCTCTTACTGAGTTCTCTTTAGGCGATATGTCAGGAGATTCTTTTAATCCAAAAGACTTATTCTTAAGTAAGGTGCTGCAAATTTCCTCTTCATATTTATGTGGTAATGGATTACCTTCCTTATATTCGTAATCATGGCATTCAACAAAATTGGAAGTTCTTTTGCTACGTTTGTCTTTCTTATGTGACTTTTTAACTGAATGAAAACCAAGCAATAAGAGTCTACTTGAATTTATATTTTCGGGTGTGCTCGGTCGATCAAGCTCGGAATTCTGTGGGCTTGGGACATGAATCGCATCGGGTGTTTGACTTTCAATATCTTGATCAATATTACAAACACCCTCGAGTGATATTTCAGATTTTGTTAATTCCATTTTTTGATGAGGATCTTTGATGGGGGTTTTAAACAACATCTTTCTATTTCCATGTTTCATCTTCTTGTGCGATTTCTTAATCGATTCGGTCAATACATGCTTTAACATATTTATATTGTTTTCAGGTGTAACTACTTTGTTAGCATTTCGAGAAATATTTGAACTAAATTCTGGAGATGCTATTCTGTTCTCGTTGGTCATATTAACATTACAAATACCTGACGATTCGTTTTGCAATAATAACTGACTTACTTCTTCATTACAAACATTCTCCTTGGAACGATCTTTTTCTTCATTATTGTGATCTATAAGACATATATTACTTTGCATGTCTTCTTCACAACTCTCATCGATGGAATCAATACCTTGCATGTTATCACTTTCTATTTGATCCAATCCACTTTCCAACGAATCATTTTTTGTCGATGCAGTTTTCTGCTGCACATTGTGATCAGAATCTGATTCAGTGTTACAACGTTCGTCATTGTAAATAAGTGTTCTCTTAATACTTCTGTTTTTCTTACGAGATTCATTTTCAGAAGCGACATAACAACTACTTGTAGCAATCGTATCTATTCCCGAAGATTCCGTAGTTGTTCTTGAATGTAAATCATCATTTTTTATAGAAACATCCATCTGCTGAATAGACGATTGTTCTTCATGAGAATATAACTTTTCCTGTTATAAAATAGAAATGTTAGTATATCAATTACAAAATTAATGAAAAGTAAATATATATTGTTTCTTCTAAAATTAATAATTAATTTTGAAAGAAAAGAAAAATATCTGTTTTTATCTATATTTCTATGTCCCGTTTATATTATGAATATACATACATAT